TCAGGCACTTTGTGGCGCCCATCCCTAAAAGCTTAAGTCTGTAATTTTTTTAAGATGTTGCTATATTTTAGCAATTTTCAATGGTAAATACGAGTAGATTATAAATACCCAACGGAAAGAATTTGTTACAATTACAGAGGAAACAATACATATTTTACCAAATTATTTGTTCATTGTATAACAAATAAAAGAACGATAAAAATGTACACATAGAAAAAGGGCATTTCTTCATCAGCTGATACAAATAAATGAAAAGCCAGCGTTTGAGATACGCCAAAGGCTGCGTTTGAAATATTGCACTTACCTATTTTTAAATCATTCTCTATTTAATAATTATCAATGGTCCTTCCTGCCGGATAAAAAGGATATCTTGTTAAAATTTGTATGATTTGGCAACGTGGCCGGCAAACCAAGTCGCAACACACGCAAAGCGCAGTCACGTTACTTGGAGGTAGAAAGTGGGGAATTGGAGTCTGACGGCGCATCCAGACCCGAAGTCGGTGGTCGTGCTAGCCGGCTGACTGGAAACTGGAAAAGGATCAGAAACCCCGGAATTCGGGATTCGATGCGCTTAGCTCGAAATGACGCAACATAGACATGACGTTTTTGCCTAGTGCGAGGAGAATCGTCTCCAGGATTTGGAAAGAAGTGGCGATTCGGAGCGTCCGGATCCGGGGTCGGTGGTTTTCCTAGCCGGCTGAGTAAAGAATGAAAAAGGAAGGAATAGGAAGGAACTCTGGAATTCCGGTTCCGATGCGCCTGACTTCGGGTCGATCCAGAAGTGACGCAATGTATGGTCGTGACGTCCTTGCATAATTGGAACCAGGTGCGTATCCAGAGATTGGACGAAAGTGTGGAAATGGCACCCAGTCGTTGATTTTCGTAGTCGGTTAATTACGAGACTGGAAAAGAGTCCCGGAAGAGATGTAAACGGAATATAATGCAAAATATTAGAAGCCCGAACCTCACCCTTTAGTAAACTTAAATTCAAAGTTTCACAGCGCAGTGTCCTCACTACAGTGAATTTTTAAGTGTCACCAAGTCATTATAAAAATGGAACTCAACCGAGAACATTTTCGCGCCATAATTTATTACAACTTTCAGAGACAATTATCGCAACAAGAATGCCTTGCTGAGTTACTGTCTGTGACATATGGCGAGATTGAGGCGTCCTTGAAGATCATCTTTTGAGATTAGTTTCTCGTTGGATACCCCACCTGTTGACTGAAGAGCAGAAAAAATTGTTTTTTTTATAAAGAATTTACTTTTAATTTGTGTCTATATTTATAGAAAACCTGTGTATCGGCCACTGATCTTACGCCGGCCCTGATTTTTTCTTCCTACCGATTTTGTCCTTGAAACTACCGAATTTCAATGATACTATCTACTGATTTCGGTTGTACAAATAAATATCACTAAACGTTTTCGGTACCTAGAACTAAAACATAATTTGTCATCAGGTATCAAAAATGCTTGATCCCAAGTCACGTAGGTAGAACAATAAAAAAATCAAGTCAAGCATTAACGTTTCAAGTAATTTTATTGTCAAGTAGGTTTCGAAAATATAAACATGACGTTCTTGATTGAATTTGAACTAGGCGCGTGTCCAGGAGTTGTGTCAGGAAAATTAAAATATTCGCCAACGCCATATGAAAGCCGCGCTGTTCCAGGATTTATGCTTTGCCTTTATGACTTGAGTATAAAAAATACAACGACGATAACAATTTATCAATGAAATATGGGATTAATAAAAAACTTAGTAATACATATTTTTAGGCGGTGACTATAAAATATTTGCAGCAGGTGTGTAAATTTGCATAAACAGATGATAAACAAAAATGTATATGGAAATATGGACCATTCTCAAAATAAATTAACAGGTGTGTGTGTTGATCATATTATATAATCAATGCTAAACACCGTACCCTTTAAAGTGTATTTAAATTATTAAATTATAGAGTAGTTACATTTAAACTTGTCCTCGTTACTGCTCACCAAGTTGGCTGTGATCTGTGGTCGAATGTTTGTAAAAATATACAATAGATACAAGACGCTTACTTATGATGAATGGGATCTCTTTCGTTTTTCATTGAGCGACTTTTATGTCCGCTTAAACTGCAGTGGTCCGTGAGTGTTCCAATCAGAAGAATCAGGCGGGGCTCGCAGTGTATTGTGATTGAAAAAAAAATTGAGTTTCATGCTGGCAATTCCCTTTTGATCTTATACATATTCGTGTAATCTCCCGCGTAAGGATCTATTCATATTACGAATAACTTCTGTTTTCATAGATCACACTTTTCGCGGGTGGTTTTTATATACTTATGAATACAGAATTTCTTCGTAAAGCTGCCCCTAGCTAATTACACCGTCCCGCGAAATTTAGTTTTTATTTTCCCATTCTAATGGTTGTTATTTTTTGTAAATATCTACCTGTGTGAAATTAAAGTAGAGCTAGCATTGCAATAAATTTGTGTTAAAAAGTAAAATTAATGTATTAGTATTATTGAAATGTCTACTGTTTCTTATAACAAAACCAAGATTTTTAAAGGCTTTTGCTATTATTGCATTAATGTGATCAATAAAAGAAAGCTTTAGATCGAATAATACGCCCGAATCCTTGACGATATTAACACACGACAAATAACATTGCTACCGATTTCAAAATTAAAACATGTCGGTTCCACCCTGCGTGTAAACGTCATAGTAGTACATTTATTGACATTCAATTGCATGTTATTTACTGTACACCAGTGATCAATGACATTCAAATCAGCCTGTAACCTTAAACTGTCTTCTAAGCAAAACACGCTATTAAATATTTTGAGGTCGTCGGCATATAGCAGGTACTTACAACGCAAGTCTGTTGTAACATCATTGATGAAAATTAAAAATAATAGTGGACCCAGGGCAGAACCTTGGGGCACCCCTGATGTAGCTAAAACCGCACCAGACGTATATCCACGGAAGTCCACACATAATTGTCTATCACTGATGTTTGAATGAAAGAAAGCTAAGAATCTAGATGTTAAACAATACTTAGATAACTTCTGCAGTAGAACAGCGTGATCCAAACGGTCGAAAGCTTTCGAAACATCAACTTGCCCGCGATTATCCAGTACTGACGCGGAGTACTGCTTAAAGCATGCCAGATTACTACACGTAGATCTACCCGTATAGAAACCATGTTGACTCGTCGATATTGACCGAGTTACTTGAGAGAACAAAATATCAAAAAAAACAAACTCAAAAATTTTGGCAATATTACTTATCCCAAAATCATTTTTATTTTTTTCCTGAATTTATTTGAGATGCAATTTCGAAGTAAATTGATATACTACTTATTCTCCTCCACAAGATGACGTAGTAAAATTTTCAATTCCAGATTTATTCTTTCGACTTCCATCAACAAGTTCGTTTTTCGTATGGGCGCTATATTGGAATTTTGTCCATTTAAATCAGAGTTCCCCAAACTTTTTTGTGTCGTAGACCCCTTGCCATGTTTTTCCGTGTTGGGTAGACCCCCTACTTACCTGATATTGATTTCCTGTAAATTTCTAACTGTGGTGAAGTTTAGTGTTAAAAACTTAAAGTAAAAACACATGTTAATTTATACATTTATTAATTGAATTTAAATTAAAACTACTCAAAATAAAATTTTGTATCTGTTATGTAAAATATACGTAACATTAAATAAACAGGTGTCTGACCAATAAGTGCCCGCAAAATAAAAAAAAAGTGAAAAATAATTTTAAAAAAAGTTTTTTACTTAAAATAGTACAATAAGCGAGTTCGTTTATTAATTATAACATAAACGTATGTTCTACAATAATTTCACTGTTAGTTTGATTAAATTCCGCTTCTTATACGTTTAAGTTATCTAAAAATAGGCAAAAAATTAACGAATTTTAGTGTGTACCTATCCTTGAATTTTCAGAATAATTTAAAAAAAATATTTTCTATAAAGAGGGGTTCTTTAAAAAAATCAATGCGGGCACTTATTCCCAATGCGGGCATTTATTGGTCAGACACCAATAAACATAAAATAAAGTATAAATAAAATAACATAAGCAATAAGTCAATATTTTTAGTGAGAAGGATGAACCTGATGCTTTAATAATAAATTATCAACATTTGGCGTCAATTTTGTAAGGGTTAATCTTAAATCTGCTCGGCTAATGATGTCCAGTCTGTTTCTTTTTTTCGTTAGAAGATTGGTAACAGCGCTGAACCCCCTTTCCACTAGGTATGATGATGGAAAGGAAATTAAAAATTTCCTCGCTATATTCCATAATACGGGATAAGTAACGGGTATGTTTTGCAGCCAGAATTGCTGATATCCGTTTTTAAACTGAACCTTAAGTTCTTCGTTTGTACTTAGTTCAGTCAGTTCCTCTTGTATTATGACGTTTCTTATGTCACCATATGGATTAATTATCCACGGTGGTATTACCATAGTCAAAATATCCTCAAACCTAGATTCAAAATCTGAATAGAGGGCATTTAAATGTTGAACGTAAGTTGAAACGTCGTCTTCCTGGCAGCTTGTCTGTGACAAATTGGGGAACTGAGAAAATTCGCCCCGTCCAATATTTTGCTTCATTAGTTTAACTTTGGCAAGAAACGCTGATAAGATGGACTTTGTTTTAATCAAATTTAAACTGTCGACTTGTAATTGCAAATAACCATATTAAATTTTGTAAACAAATCTATTAAATAGGCGATGTCTGTTTTCCTCTTCATTAAATTTTCTTTTAAAATGTTATCTTTAGTATCCAGAAATTCTAAAATAGTCTCAAAAAGTGCAAAAAATCTTCTCAAACATAAGCCTTTCGACAGCCAGCGTACTTCAGTGTGAAAGAGTAATTGATGAAAGTGTACGTCATTTTCTTCACACAACTGCGCAAATAACCGCGTATTCAACGCGTTGCTTCGGATTCGGTTTACTGCATCAATGACTAAATAAAGTGATTCATGCAATCTAACACTCAAATTTTTAGCAACTAAATGTTGTCGATGGTTGACGCTAACACCCCTGACACATTTTGTTTTAAATAGCTTATAAATCCACGATAACGTCCAACCATGGCAGATGCTCCATCTGTAGCTACTGATATTATATTTGATAAAGGAATTGCTTTTTCAATGAAGTAATCCTTCAAAACATGAAATATTGATTCACCTTTAGTGTCGGTTATCAAAGTTCTTGCGAAGAGCAGTTCTTCGTAGATTTCTTGATTCATAATAAAACGAACATATGCCAATAATAATGCTGCATTATCAGGTAAAGTTGACTCGTCCAGTTGTATAGAGAAATGGGTCGTTTGCAAATAATTACATAAGAAGCTTTCAATATCAGAACTCATTTCATCAATACGTCTTTCAACAGTATTGTTGCTTAAGGGAATTCTTTTAATGATATCAGATGCAGGTTTGTGTAAAACAGTTTTTAAAACCTCTTCAACGGCTGGCAAAAATAACTTCTCTCCGATAGTATGCGGTTTTCCGGATTTTGCTATAACTAACGAGATATTGTAAGACGCCCGCAAACCATCATCATTTCCTTGTGACGTCGAAGCGGACATTCTGTCCAGTGTAGGTCTCTTCTGAAATTTATCTTTGAGTGTTTGAAAGTATTTCAAATCTTTCTCTATTTTATCAGGGTGGCATCTTCTCAGATGATCTTGCAGTTTAGATGGTTTCATAGCGTCAATGCCCAAAACTTTGTTGCATAAAAGGCACATAGGCGATTGTTTGTCCGGCAATGATGGTTGGAATGAAGCCAAAATTCAAATAATAATCGACACTGTACTGTCTACATTTCTTTTTAGATTCGGACATGGCATCAGTCATCTGTGGGCAAAATTAAATTATTTAAATAAGACAGAAAATCCAGCAGCTGTATATTAAAAATATTTTTTGATTTTTCCGAAAACATTCCATAATTCGAATATCTTCTTGCAACAATTAGCTCGAATTACGGAGATTGCACTGTAATGATATTAGATACCGATTGCTAAAACTTTCAAAAAGAAGCTATTGAGGAGTACTCGTGTAATTTTGCATGATTGAATATTTAAGTACTAATAACTCAAGTTATGATTGTCGTAATTTATCTATCTTTGCTAACTACGAGTACAAAACTAAAATTTAATAAAAAATAATGTACTTACTTTTCTCCAGCACTCTCAAACAAAATAACACTGACTCACTATAATTTGTGTGATATACTATCTGTTTATATTTTTTGAAATATTTTCTTAGCACTTTCCTTTTCAAGATTCAGGAAACGAATAAACGTATTTGTCCCACATTCGTATTTATAGAGTGACGAATTGAACAAGTCAGTGCAAGGTAGCGAAGCTCTGAGACTGCGACTCTCAGGTTTTTACAAGTTCAAAATGTATTGCGACCACAAAGCGAATACCAACATCCTACAACTTACACAATTTTATAAACATATATAATACATTTTTTACTTCATAGGTACTTTTATAAATAATGTATATGTTTTGATATTATAAGATAGTATGATGTAAGTAAATAGGTACTATCAGTGTATGTGTTGAGATCCACTATCGTGGACCCCCGTATTCATTTCATGGACCCCCAAATTTTTTTTCGCTGACGTAGACCCCTTGCAGGTTGTCATAGTACCCCTAGGGGTCGATATAGACCACTTTGGGAATCAATGATTTAAATGAACATGTCAATCCTAAATTCAGTGATGTATTTTCTCAGTTGGTCATGAGAAACGAAACGTCATATTGTACTTCTAATAATGCATGTTAATGTGCAATTTAACATCCTACTACAAATAAGGTCAGGGAAAATTAAAACGATTTTGGGAAAATTCGTTTTTTCTGTCCCTCTCCGGAATTACTTTGAATTTAGTAATCACAGTAATCAAGCTGAACTAGAGTCATATCAAAGTTCAAAAGTACAAGCTTCGCAGCCTTCTCTTCTCTTCAAGGATATTTTGATGTATAGCATTCAAATTCAGCGTGCTAAGTGGTGGCTTTAAAGATCCGATGACGTCATCTCAGCCGTCTGCCAAATAAACGAAGAACCAACGGCCGAGCTGGCGACAACGCAAGATGAGATAAGCGCCGCCGTCGTACATATTCCAGTTCTGCAAAAAAAGAGCAAAAGGGGCAATAAGACGACGGATCCCTCGCTCAGTGCAAGAGATGATTCATTTACCTCGACCAAAGTTCAAAGACGAACGCAATAAAAGCAAGAAATCAGGCCCGCATCGTGTGTGCGAAGGTGACGTCATCGCTATTCTCCGAAGCTTCAATTTTTGTGGAATACGTCCAGAGGAACGAGAGGTATCCTCAGGGGTGTATCAGTGGACTAGGTCCGAGCTTATCGATTTACCTATCGCATATAACAAGATAAATAAGAAGGATTGTAGAAGCTGAAGAAATGGTTTTTGACATTGTTTTTAATGTAAGCTACAGCTATATTTTGTATACAGGGTGTTTCAGTTTATTGTTGTATAACTTTAAGATTCGATAGAACCCCTAAAATTAATGCATAAAGTCTATATAAACATGGGTCGAAAAATGCGTGGCTTCCGAAATACAGGGTGTTTAAATTTACCTTCTAAAATAGTTTTTTTCGAACAATATTTGATGTATAACAATGAAAATTGGTATACAAGGGTTTTTGGTACGACAAAACGAACCATGGGCATAGTTTTACTGTAGCCGCTAGAGGGCGCTCTCTACTGTACCTGCAGTGTATCAAAATGATCGAAAATTTTTTCTTAGTGCAATTTTTTGCTTTTTGAATAAAAAAAAACTGATCCTTCGCACTTTTCAACATACAAAAGCTCTCTTGTGAATTTTCGTTATAGTTAGCCGTTTTTGAGATATATCGATTTTAAGGTTCCATGCATTTTTAATTATTTATGATAAAATAACGTTAAAAAGTCAGTATCTCGATAATTTTTAGAAGTAGGCTGTGCCTGCAAATATTTTTGAAATTGAAAGCAGAATAAGGTTAAACGTCAATTAGTTGACAGTTAGTTTTGTTGTCTGTTTGTTTACCTGTTTTTTTTTTGTAAGTTTTGTAAAAATGCCATTTTTATTCTCCAATCAAGAGTTAGTGGATATTCATTTTGTGTATGGCTTTGTAAATGGAAACGCAGTAGAAGCAGCCAGAGAATACGCACGAAGGTTTTCAAACAGACGACATCCAACTCGCTCAGTATTTGTAAGAGTGCATCGCCAAATAATTGAAAATGGTTTTGGAAATCTCCAAAGGGATCAAAACATAAATGTTCGTCAGCGCAGATTTACCCGTATGATTCTGCGTGAGTTTGATAGAGATCCGACCACAAGTGTTAGGAAAGTTTCTGGTGCCTTGGAATTTCAGCAAGCCATGTTCACCGTGTTCTTAGAAATGACCATATACGTCCTTACCATTTGCAACCTGTGCAAGGGCCACAGCCAGGGGACGGAGAACGAAGAATCATATTTTGTCAGTGGATTCTTGATAGAACTGATAATAATAGGGAGTTTTTAAGTAACGTTTTATGGACCGATGAGTCATGCTTCACTAGACGTGGAGTGGTAAATTTTCATAATCAACATATTTGGACGCATGAAAATCCGCATGCAGTTCGGGAAAGAAATTTTCAGCTTGAATTTAGTGTGAACGTGTGGATTAGTATCTACAGTAACCGACTATTTGGACCCTACCTTTTTCCTGCAAGGTAAAATGCTGCGACCTTCTTGGAATTTTTAAAGGCTGAACATGCAAATATGTGGGATGATGTTATGTTAGATTTAAGAAGATTGGCCTGGTTCCAGCTTGATGGTTGTCCAGCTCATTATTCGAGAATAGTTAGAAACTGGCTGGACGAAAATTATCCAGAAAGATGGATCGGCCGTGGAGGACCAGTCGCCTGGCCTCCACGATCCCCTGACCTAAATCCATTAGATTTCTTTGTGTGGGGATTTCTAAAAGAAAAAGTGGCCTTATTTGAATAATGCTATACCACGTTCGATCATTCGTAGATGTGAATTGTGTATTGAACAATTGGGTTTACATTTCGAGCAACTACTTTAGATTTTGTATGTTTGTCCTAACTATCCAATAGCATTTTAGTTGTAAATAATTAATTAAATTTGTCAAAAATAATATTGGAAAATTAAACAAATTAATATTCTGTTTTTTGTGTTTATTTGGAGTTAGGAATTATTGCTGTGTTTAAAAACACAATCTAAACGATCATCTTAATTACTTGTAATGCCCAAATCGAAAATGTAAAAAAAACTATTATTTTCTTATAAATAATTAGAAATGCATCGAACCTTAAAAATCGAAATAACTCAAAAACGGTTAACTATAACGAAAACTCACAGGAGAGCTTTTTTATGCAGAAAAGTGCGAAGAATCAGTTTTTTATTCAAAAAGCAAAAAATTGCACTAAGAAAAAATTTTCGGTCATTTTAATACACTACAGGTACAGTAGAGAGCGCCCTCTAGCGGCTACAGTAAAACTATGCCCATGGTTCGTTTTGTCGTACCAAAAAACCCTTGTATACCAATTTTCACTGTTATATATCAAATATTGTTCGAAATATTTAAACAAAACTATTTTAAAAAGTAAATTTAAACACCCTGTATTCGGAAGCCACGCATTTTTCGACCCATGTTTATATAAACTTTATGCATTAATTTTAAAAGTTCTATCGAATCTTAAAGTTATGCAACAATAAACTGAAAGACCCTGCATAAAGAGAAAAGGATCATGCGGAAAGAAGTACGAGGGGGTACCCAAAAATAACCGAAATAGCATTGCAGTGGGCGGAGCCTGTGTAGTACACATTTCTGCCCCTAGAGGCGTACAGTGCAACTCGTTACCAGTTGAGTTGTCGATCTGGCTTCTTTGGTTCCTCTGTAGTCATTATTTTTGCTAGAGCTGTTTCGTGCTTGTTTCATTTTTTACGATGGCAAGCCGCTGATACTGTTTTAATATTGAAAATAGCTTACAAAGATGATGCTATGGGTGTAGGTATATTCTTTAATTCACCGGTTGAGCTACCGGTGCAACCGGTTAGCCAAGTTTGCGTCCTTTAATTTCCGCTGGAACGACCGGTTGTACATCAAACTTGTCTCTATATAGATGGTGGATATGCCACCGGTGCCAACAGCATCCACCGACGTTCGGGCTCGGTTGATCCACGATATTCTAACCTCTACATTTTATCAGTTTTTGACAACTACAGTTTTGTGTGAAAAAATGGAAGAAGAAAAGATTGAAGTTAGCAGCATAGGAGTCGCGTGAAATTTAATGTTTTTTTTTTCAACACAATTTGAAATAAACAGAGCATCTGAAAGCAATTTGTCAATTTGTTTTGAATTATGCATATCGACGAACTCAATTCAATACCTCGTAAGTCCGAAAATGTCGATTTTCTGATTTTGATCTGTTTTTATTCCTGTATGAGACAGGAATGCTCTCAGAAAATCCATATCGATGGTTTTTATACGAGAAGCATCGACGATCTCAAATCAGTGCCTCGTATTGATTTGAGATCGTCGATATCTGAACATTTCTTGGTTTTCTGATTTATAGTTCTTATATTGATTCTCGGAGTGCACATTCTCTCCGCTGGATAACAAACGTTCCATGACAATACCAACTGCTGCGTACATTTCCATAATGATTTTAAATGATACGGTGTTCAAATTAGCCAGTATCCATTTACGATAAAACAACAGTCAAGTC